CAGGCAGCCAGACAGACAGACAGACAGACAGGAAGGCAGGAAGGGTTTCTTTTTCTTACATCCATCTTTATGAAAGGTTATTAAAAGTCCAAGAGTTAAAACTGCAAATCAGTCAGACCCTACGACCCTGAAGGCAGAATATGGTAGAGCACCTCCCACAGGAGCCTGAACACCACGTACCCAAAATAACCTGAACGCTCTGTATCGCTGTGCCGAGGTCGGAGCAGGTCGGGGGAGGGGGCGTGGAGCACGGACGAACTTAGAACCAGTGTACTGACAAGATGGCCAAATACCATCTCTGTCGTGAGGTGATGTTAAAGGAACAGCAATCATCCTGATCGCCTGGTTCCTGGGCAAGATCTCGTAAGTCTTGTCTGAACACCCGCATACTGTCCGCCTACTCAGCCTGGAGGTTATGGTTTGCTCATCTCTCTGGCTGCTCTCCAAATCCTGCCAGTAGTTACAGCCTCCAAGAGTCACAACGTGGACAGCGTGAAAGAGTCAGAGACCCTGTTCCCAAATAAAATACAGCAGCCGTTACCAAACTAACGCGTCCTGACTGCCAGAACCATCATGGCGTCTGTGAGTCAAGCCTGTGTGTGTCTGACCTTCGCTGGCACAGTGTCCAACAACCCGGCTGACAGACAGGAGGCAGGGGGAACCTCGCAGGCTGACAGACAGGTGGCAGGGGGAACCTCGCAGGCTGACAGACAGGAGGCAGGGGGAACCTCGCAGGCTGACAGACAGGTGGCAGGGGGAACCTCGCAGGCTGACAGACAGGAGGCAGGGGGAACCTCGCACCTCATTGTTGGGGTCCTGGATGACCCTGTAAAGAGCTGGAACCAGAGCCTTCTTCAGGTGCAGGCTGCCGGCGTAGCTGGAGATCTGCGTTTCGGGTAACGTCTGTGGGAATGGCGTTTGGGCGAGGTTAGGTTAGAAGCTGATCGGCTTCAGCTTTCCTGGAAACCCATGAACCAGAAAAAAAAAAAAAAAACTTTCGAAAGAAATGCTGAAATCGCAGCGTCTCTAGGTTTTGTTTTCACGTGGCCAGGAACTCATTCCAGCTGCAGCTGGCCCCTGGACACCCCCACACCCCCACCCACCCGCGGAACACTGATTTCTCAACTTGACTCAAAACCCTTCGCAAGGTCAGCCTCCCTGTTTGGTGAACGCTGACGCCTTCATGAGAGAACTCCAGGTTGGCCCTAACAGCCAGATTACCTTTCACTACTGACGCAGTTAAACATCGCGGTTGCAAGTCACTGGGCACCAATAACGTCACACCAATAATGTAACGTAATTTAAGTTAGGAGGCACTGTCCAGGGAATTAAACATTAAACATCAGCCCTTCGACGCGCCGTAACTGTTCATTACAGGGCACCACAGGACACATACAGAGTCATTAAGAGGCACAGACTAACATAAACCACACCCATTTCTGCTATTTTGAGTTTAAAATGTTACACAAATAACTGCTGCGCAGCAGAGTTTCTGCAGGAAGGGGCGGCCGCCCACCTTGAACTCCGACAGCCACTCCTCCACCACTCCTCGCTCGGACCCCAGCATCATCTTCAGAGTCCAGCTCCCGCCGCCTGGAAGGGACCGCTCACGAGTCACTTTCGGTTCACAGTGAGCGCATCACAGCTGTGAGGGTTACTGCTCGGGACGTCACAACAAAAATCATCACTTCATTCGTCTACAAAAAATATATATGACATTAGAAACAACCGGCTGTTTTAAGCAAAACATTCATTTCAAGTCTAAATAAATTGAAACCCAAATTATAGTTCTACAATAGCTGTTTTGAATTAATAAGTTCATTGACAAGCAGTCTCATTGGGTGCTTTTTAATTAGGAACACCGTTGCAATGACATACTTGTGTTACTTTCCAACATTTGTGTTTAGTATCCCTTTGGGAGCCAATGACTACAATATCTAATAGCAAAATGGCAAGAACAGAACTGAATGAGCCGGTCAAAAAAATCTGATGCTTAATAAAAAGGAAAATGTCTGTGCGGAAGACGTGCGGATACATTAGACACTGCTGGTCAATGGACATCATTGGTTATGAAACCAATACATTTTTTACATTTTTGCAGAATTAAGCAAAATCATCACCGAACGGGAGGAAGAGCCGAGGAAAGTCACACTAGGCAGGATTACAGTCTGTCAGCTCTCTAACTCACAATATCATGCTTTACTGGTTTAGAGATGGATCGCTTCACAGATCCAGGTTAGGCGTGTGGTAGGGGAGGGTGGTCTCCTGTCACAATTACAGCCCTTCAGACACAAATCCAGGTCATTAGCTTCCAGCTACCTGCCGCTGGGCCACCACCAGCAGGGTCGGGGTCAAAGCTCCCCCCCCCCCAGTGTGCTCCAAGGCCACCCTGAGGCAGTTCACAACGCTCAGCCAGACCTTTGTGCTGATCAAAGGCTGCGTGACAAAACGTGAGCATCCTGTTGTGTTGGGTCGAAAGGCAGACCTATTCATGTATTATTCCCCAGCCCCGCGACCCCAGCCGCCCGCGACCCCAGGCGCCCGGTTCCCGCGTGCGTGACGGCCTGGCTGCAGGCAACACGGCGAGTCACGCCGCTCTAGCGCTCTCCTGCAGCTCGGAGCAAAGCAGTCTCACAAATGAACATTTCAAAGGATAAAAGACTCTGGGCTTGGAAAGCAGGTTAAACATTAAATTTCTGAACTGTAAAAGTTGGGATTTTACATCAGAATTCTGAAAAAACATCACCTTCACAAATAAAAATCCCTATTCAGCTTTTCCCCTCCTTGAATGGAGCACCCCTCCCCCAGGTGTGAAATCAACATTTGTAAGCGACAGACAGGCCCTCTGCTACTACATTGCGGAAGGTGGGGGGGGGGGGTACCCGCATTACCGACGGCGACAGATGCCCGTGAGATTGATGCCATGCTACAGCATCAGGCAGGCACTATCCCTCCCCCGCCATTTGTGTAAATGCCCCCCCCCCCAAGCAATTTAAGGGTCATTAGCAGGATAACTTTTTAGAGGCTTGTGTCTTTCACACAGACTTCAGCCGGTGAAGGGATGTGGAGCTTCATCACCCGGTTATAAACCGTCCAGTGGGAATGTGGACCGAATATATCACCGCAGCTCAGCCGGAGGGACACTGCGGGTATAAATGTCCACGACAGGCAGAACGGGAAGGTCTTTTGTGACCGTCTCCGACAGCGTTTCTCCCAAATCCCATCCGCTACACGGCTGAGCCATGGAAACGACAGTCACATCACGGCGGGGAACGGCACCCCCCAGCCCTCGAATCCGCTGACTGAGGACCGTGAGTCAGAAGACAGGGGACGTCACCTGCGATGTGCCCAGCGAAAAGTGTCACATTTTGTCCCTCGTCGCCCAGTTTTATTCCTGTATTCCCTCTCCCCCTCTGTCAAAAAAGTCAAGTTCTCAGAAATCTCCCAGTGTTGTCGCCATGGCGATAAAACCTCTGTAAGCAGGTTCTCCTCACGGAGCCAGTAAGGAGCATCAAATTTAAAACATGTTTCGCTACCAGAAATACTTTTCTTATTTTTGGTATTTCTGTATTCTAAGTAGACCTGCGTCGATAATCTGACATGTTTAATATGCCTTCATGTTATAAAAGTAGCTGAGATGATAGAAACCCTTGAGAAGCAGGGACTGCTGCTGAGATTAGAGAATGTTCCAGATTCTGCATCCTCACCCTGCTCTCCCGGAATTCAGATATCCGCAGAGTGAAGGTACGTGGTCTCCGAGCTGTCACACATCTGTGGATCTCTGCCAATCACCTGCATGACAGAAGGAGAGAACTAATCAGATCGCTGCAGTGCTAACATGGAGGTGGTGCCGCATGACCAGGCCACACCCCACCCCAAGGTCTCCGGAAGGATGTGACCGGGAGCTCTGGGCACCAGCATGGGGGGGGACTCGGTGGCAATGACAGATGGTCTCTTCTTCAGCGAACATCGGTCACGGTAGGCAGAGAGGCACACGGACACAGTGGGACACAAGTCTGTGCTCTGTTGCACGCGTCGTGTCGGGTGGACGACAAAATGCTAAAAAAAATAAATAAAAAAAAAAAAAACTCTGACACCTGCACTGAAAGGAGAAAAGCAGGAGGCCCCACCCTTAGTGTAAATGGACTGGGGGGGGCTGTAACAATGCGCTCTCAATGTATGTGGGATAGCGCGGCCTGTCGGACTGCAAACATGATCAGTGTGACACACACACACACACACACACACACACACAGGGTCCTCAAGAAGTTCTTTACTGTAGATCCTACGCTGTGATGCACCAATCAAACCAGTCAGAACTCCAAGCCGACACCATCAGAACCCCACGAGTGACCCCAAGGCATCACGATCGGACCCAACGCTCAAAAGCACCGACGTGTGGGATCACGTGACTGTGAGTGTGGACAGGCGATCTGACAGGGGCGTAAACAGGAGAAAAAAAAATAAATCAAAAGCAAGTGCTGCCAACGCATACCTCTGAAGGCCTGGGACAATGGGCATGGTCTCCCTGAGGTCCTCTTTCTCTAGACTTCTGTCCTGACCTGTCAGCACTTCCTGTTTACTGACAGAGTTCTCCAGAACCTAGGGGTCTGTCTGAAGCTCATGGGCGTCGGACCAGTAGGAGAACACCAGCCAGGAGGGACAAACAAGTTTGAACTTGTTTTGTTTTATTTTCCTGATAATGTCCTGAATCATTAAAACACAGTCTCTGCAATACCGTATCACCAACTTGCATCTACAGGAATCTGTCAAGATTTTCTCTGATAACAATACCAAACGTCAGCCTCTGCTCAACACAAAGGCACCAGGTCTTTTACCGGAACACGTAAGGGCATATCCGCCCTTCTTTTTGGGTTTGCGCTGACTTATGAACGCCGCTGTCATGGTTAAGGAAGCTTCACCCGGCTGGACTGCGGACGGACATGCAAAGCGCTTGCAAATGTTGCCGGAGTACGAGGTGCGCAGAAGGGCGAGAGTCAAGAAGCCACACAAGACACGCCATTCGTTTAACCTGCTGAGGGAGAAGGCGGCCAGGAAACAAAGGAGCCTGTTTACATGGCCGCACAGGACCCGCGAGTTTATCTTAAAGTGACATCCAGCCGTTTGAAGTGGGATGTTGGGGGAGCGTTCGTTTGAAGAGCATGATGAAGGCCTGGCTTGTAGTGCCCCCCCCCCAGCCGGCCACAGGAAGCAACACCCAGGCTGGCCTCACAAAGCCTCTTCACATAGCCGGCCCTGCTCAGACTGTCGTGTTTTTATTGGCAAAAATAAACAAGTATAGTTTGTAAAGGGCTGGACACAGCCTGTGTGTCACGATGCCTCCCAGTTCAGATTCTGCTTTGGTGGGACACCAAAGTTCCCTAGGTGGCTTTGACACCCAAGAAGGCCACGTTATTTTACAGAGGACTTTGAGTACAGATGGGTAGTTCAGGTGCAGAAAATAAAAATCCAGACCAAGATTTTTGTTTCAACCAACCAGTTGAAGCCTTTGTGACTGCAACTCAATATACTCAGATGGTTGGTTGAAACAAAACCTTGGTCTGGATTTTTATTTTCTGGACATGAACTACCCACCTCTGAGTTTGAGAAACATCCTAAAAGTCTGTATCTCCCAGTCCAGTACCTCCAATCTTGTGGTCATTCATTAAAGCCCAGTGGAAAGGCTTCACCACTGCAGTGTGGCGTGCACATGTATATTTAGAATTTTATAGAATTCTTAATTATAACTTTATAAATTTGAACCTACACATTTTAAATCACATGGGTAGGCACAAATTTTAAATTATATTTCTGTATGCATGCTCCTGAATACAAGCAAACTGGGCACTACGCATGGATCCCTGAAGGCTCAGCCTTCCACACAGGGACCAGTGTTCCTGAGAATCAGCAGTCGTCAAGACGTCGGCACCAGGGTACGAGCGAGGTGAGGCCAAGTCCAGCCGCCTCTCTCCCTTCCGCACAGTCGTGTATCGGGCTTCTCCCTCTCGGGAGCCGGCATACACAACAAGCCGGCGCTGGGGCATCCATGACAGATATCCCGTTGCCACGGAGAGTCGGTCATAATCGAGTGAGCCAACGGGAATTAGTGCTACTGCGCAACGGTAACGGGAGGAAGAGCCGCGGAAAGTCACACTAGGCAGGATTACAGTCTGACAGGTTCAGCCTTCTTCCCATTGGTTAATTTGCCAGGTCCCAGTCAGTAACTGCCAGTGGACGGTAATCTCACCCATCATGGGTTTCAAAACCTCATTTATCCGGTTACCGACGGCATCCTGTGGGCCGAGTCAGAAGATGACTTAAGTTTCAAAGGAAGAACTCCATCCCCGGCCTGCCATTCCTATAACCCTTCTTTATTCCTTCTGGAAAGTTCTTTTACGTCAACGGAAGGCTAGCACAGAACGGGCCAATTCCCGTCATCAAGAAATGCCAACCCTTTTCTACAGCACCTCAGAGTAGCTGCACTAACTGGCCTGTCACTTGAGTTACTTGGGAACAGCCGATCATTTCCAAAACGGATGCCACCACGACGAGGGTCTTCACACAGCTCCAGCCCTGAACCACCTCACACCTCCACTATGACTTCTCAACCCCCAAGACCATCTTGAACTTAAGACAGGGAGTCAGACGGCTCCCTAACTTTGGTCTTAATAGCGGATGCAGAATCTGGCAACCGCCCCTGTTACCCAAATCTCACCACCTGTACTTCCTGGGTAAAGGGATCAACATCAAATTACCTGGGACACACAAACCTTTTACTGCCGTATTTGGCTCGGTCGGGTAATGGCGTCTTCTCCCAGTGTAAGAATGGAGGTCTGTAGCCTCTGCCAGGTCTGAATATGGAACAGGAAAGTAGCATTGCGAGCCACCAAGTGCTAAACTATACTTCATAAAACAAAAATAAAAGCAAAAAACACCAATGAAACGACCCCTTAAGGTTCACATTGGCCAGTCCCTGCTGGCCCCCAGACTGGCAGTCACTGGATCTTACCCTCCTTCAAGGTCCTTCCTTCAAGGGCTGGCGTCAATCATTGAGTGGCACAGGTCCCGGTAAACCAGACCCCCACCCCCACTCACCAGCAGAATGAAAACCAGCCCATCCACAAGGAGAAAGCGGAGACACGGCCCTCCGGACCAGGCTAAACATTGCTATTTATTCATTCAGCAGAAGCTCTTGTCCTGTCTGCAATGGAAGGCAGAAAATATCTGCTGCCTCGGACGGGTCGGGGGGGCCGCAATGGCACGAGGTACCAGGGCGACCGGGTGACGCATGTGGCTCCAGGTGATCGCATGTGCCAGAATACCCGGGATCAGCACCGCAGCTGCAAACTCCGGTCCTGGAGAGCTACTGTCCAGTAGGTTTTCTGTCCTACCTGGATGAGCCACACCTGTTCCTGGCATTTACCCAAAATCAGGTGTGGCTCATCTGAAGCCGGGTAAAATAGAAAACCTACTGGATAGCAGCTCTCCAGGACCGGAGTTGGAGACCTCTGTTGAAGCATTTTAAGAGCAGAAGACTGTAGCTATACTGAAGGGTGAGCTGGGGTGGGGGATTGGGGACAGGGTGTCACACACTGCCTGACTCATTCAACTGTCGGATCTCGGGGTCTCACTCCTCCCTCGTGGGGAGGGGGGGCTGCCTGCTCCTTGCTTAGGGGGCACGTGCAGACTCCGACAGACATGGCGAATCCCCTAGCCTGGTCCCGTTCCACCCACCCCGACGCCGCCCTCGACTGGTTCCGTTTTCCCCTGGGAGCTGCTTACGCAGGCCAAGGTGCTTAGAGCAGCCGGTGACGTCCAGAAGCGGACCAGCTGGTCAGCGGTTTCCACACGCCAATCACCCGACGAGGGACCGTTCGTCACATCGACAGGCAGTATTTTTAACAAGAGAGCCGGTCCTAATTAAATTTTTAAGTGCTTTGTGAATTGAATTGATGATGTGTTGCATAAGGGTTTCTATTAATCAATTCTGACTATTGCAGTACACATATATAACTTTCGTTTCAGCTGACTGCAATTGACTGTGCAGGTGGGAGGGGAAAATCTATTTAAGGAAACATTTCTTTAGCAGGATCTAAAGATTTTTAACCAGTGAGATATGCATTCTTTTCTCACATACATACATTTTTCTCACATGACATCAGTGGACACAGGAAATGTTTGGACTACCTGACACTGTTCACATCCTTTCAAGGACAACGGAATGCAGGATGTGACACAATCTTTATGCACCATCAGGGTATAAACGTCAGCATGTCAATAAAATCTCAGAATTATGTACTTTCACTTACAACACTGAATTTTAAATATATACATACATATCACACGCCAAACCCCAATACTCTGTGGGCCATGTATGTGCCTGCTTTGCTTACCGTCTTCTACTAAAAATTATTAACTTTAAAATTATATAGACAATATTATAGCAAAAAATAAAACAATTTTCTTTTACTATTTAAAATAGCATCATAAACTCAGAATTAACGCTTTGCCACATGGAGCGGAAATGAAAACTAGCTTTGCAGATACAAAACGTGGTGACATTCTTGACCACAGGGGGCGCTCTAAGAGGCGCCTCACCACAGGATGCGATGGCTTCCTGTTCTCTGGACGCAGAAAACGTCAGCAGCCCCTGGAGACTGACCGTATCAGAGGAAGCCTGGGCGGTCCTGATTGGCGACATTGAGCGTGGGCACTCCCGCACTCCGCGCAGTGGCTCTCGCCCGACGGGCTTCCGCTGAGCCTCCATAAACACCGGGTTGCAGCCCACCCAG